CTTATCAATGAGGATTGTGAGAATACGATTGATTTTAGGGACTTTAGCAATTTTAGCATCCTAAATGAAAATAAATATTTTTTTATCGGCATATTAAAAAAATCGAAGTTAGAGAGGCTTTATAGAAAATGAAGTGTGAAAAAGCTGTTGAATATGATGATATTTTAATAGAGGTGTGGAAAAGCTTATGAGATGAAATAATTTCTTGGCTTACATAACTTTTTAATATTATTTTGAAGACCAAAAAGATGTTAGATGGGTGGAGAACAAATGTGTTGATTCATATTTTTAAAAATAAAGGTGATGCACAAGAGTGCGAATTATAGAAGAATTAAGTTAATGTGTCATACTTTAAAACTCTGGGAGAGAGTTATTGAGCATAGGTTATGACGTGATACTAATGTTTCTCAAAATCAATTTGGATTCATGTTGGGTAGGTCTACTTTAGAAACAATACATTTATTGAGAGGTTTGTTGGATAAGTATAGGTAGAATAAGGAGGTTTTACATATGATATTTATTGATTTAGAGAAAGCTTATGATATAGTTCCAAGAGAAGTGCTATGGAGAGTTTAAGAAAATAAAGGGGTTAATAATATTTTTATTCAAGTCACTAAGGATATGTATCCTGCTACTTGTGTTCGAAGACAAGATGGTTTGACTAAGTATTTTCCTATTTCAGTTGGATTATATCAAGGATCAGCTTTAAGCCCATATCTTTTTGCTTTAGTCATGGATGTTCCTACTAGACATTTGTAAGAGGATGTACCATGGTGTATGCTTTTCGCTGATAATATTCTTCTAATTGATAAGACTAGAGAGCGAGTTAAAAGTAAACTTGGATTATGGAGGTTAACCATATAGAATCTAAAGGTTTTCATTTGAGTAGATCTAAAACCAAATACATGGAGTGTACTTTTAGTAATAGTAGATCTGATGGGGGGATTGTGACTTCGGGCGATCAAGTCATTAATAAGAACACACGTTTTAATTATCTCGGGTTAGAATGGTCGATGTAAATCAATTGAACCAAACCAACTCACTTAGCTTGGGTGATTCAAATCAATCACATTGAAAGTTAGATTAAATTTAAACTATTTTATGAAATTAAATTGAATTGAAATTGCTTTGTCGAGATTAAATTGAGACTGGCTGTAGATTGATCGTGCAGGTTTGAATCGAAATCAACCTATCTAATCTAACTTGGTGAGCTGAATTGACTAGAGAGACGGGTTTAACATCGTAAGAGCTTTAAACTAAAATTGATGTGACATTTGATTTGGCAAGCTTTTCACCCACCTAAGGCCACTAAAGGGTGTCTTAAGGAGTTAGGCTCTCTAAAGCTTGCCAATGCCACGCCATCGGGTATCCTTCTAAGAGATCCTATGGGCTTCTACACTAAGGTGGGAAGACCTAATGGCTTGTAACCTAACAAAAAAAGAGAGATTGACCTCATTCAAAAATGATTTTAACAATCACATGAGAGCCAAAAATTATCGAATGAGTTTAACAATCACATGAGAGCCAAAAATTATCGAGCAAGAGCAACCAATCATAAGTGCAAGTGAGGCAAATGAATGCATCTTCTCACATAGAGCAAGCTTTTAGCAAGGTGATAATCCCAGATGAAGTTGCACCTGCTACAACTATCAAGACGTGAAAGGGCATGAAGCTAACCAACGGTGTGCAAGAAAACAACTTGGGAAATGAAGTCATCATTTAGAATGTTAGAATGAGTTCTTAATCTCGGATGAATAACAATTTGAAGAGTAAGTGGAGACCAAGGGAGATTAAGGAAGGAGAGGGTGCAACCAATCCACCCAATAAGAGCATTGCCAATGATGAAGAGTCAATAGAATGCTTGTTATAACTAAATCTCTTAACCAAAGGATTCTTAGAGACAAAAATCAAACTCTTTGTTAAAGATTTCATTAAGGAGATCAACAGTAGATTCTATACAGCCAATATCGAGTTGAATTAAAAAGTTGAGCATTTAAAGATGGCAAAGAGAGAATGACAAGGCCTGAAATTGCCAAACAATTGACTGTTGAGCAACTCCATGTGTAGGAGGCAAAGAACCCTAGAACGTCAGCAAGTTCAGTCAAAGCGCAACAAAAAGCAAGAGGTGTGAAGGACCTTGACAAATAGAATGAAAGCAAGAGGTGTGAAGGACCTCGGCAAATAGAATGATCCTCTACAACACTAAAATTGTAATATTGAAGTAATCCATAGAGGAGTCTAAGCCCGATTGCTTTGCAATAGGAAATGAATTCACAATCCAAGAGTTAATTAGCAAGCATGGTTTCTAATGTGAGGTGGTCCATAACTAACAATTTTGTCACCCACTAGGGGATACTTCCATTTCGATCTATGAAGAGTTCCACTAAGATCTAAGTCAACCTCAAGATCAAGTTGATTAATTTTTATCACCTAATGTCAAGCAAAGACCAGCTATTGGTAGCGATTTTAGATAATCATTAGCTCCAAAGTCATGATGCTCCAATTAAATAGTAGTAATTCTTGGCAGAGTCAGATAAGAATTGCAATTGTAATTGGTAAAAAATACTTGATGTATGACACTCTGACGCTCTTTCTGATGGCATGGTACTATGTTAGGATGAAGCAATCAATTGCAACACGCATTTCTTTGAAAGCATACTATTGAGTATTGACAGTATTGATGGCATTGTGGAGGAATCATGCTATCAAAGAAGATAAAACATAAAACAACAAAATTAAAGAGGAAATATATATATATATATATATATATATAAAGAAAGGGGATGTAGTTAATAATCCCATCTAATGAAAATGTCAGCAAGGGTCAGAGGGGATATTTAGGTTAATCTTTCATTATTTTTTTATAAGCATGCCAAAGTGTTCATGCTAAGCATTGTGCTGTAGGTGGCTTCCAAAATTGTTCGTGCTTCCTACTTCAATTATTTATTCAATGTTTAGAGAACTGAGAAGCCGACTACTCTAAGTGATTAGAAGAGCTATATTTCCTAATGATAGGATATGACACTAAAGTACTTCATTCCCGCTTTTAAATAAAAAGTACGTATGAAAATTATCAATATAAGGCGGAGGCCTTCAAAGTGATAAAGCAGATATAAATAATTAGAGAGAAAAAAAAACAAAGCCTTAGCTATTTGACAAAGATATTTTTAAAAAACCATTAATCAAAAAAATACTTAGACAATAAAAAAGCTCTGGATTTTATTCTACCTTTTTTTTCCTTTCTAACACTTGCAAATATATTCTATGGAAGAGAATGAACAAACAAATTCAATTTCTACATTTGGAGGCCTTAGATTTGATTAAATTCGAATAAAAAAAGAACCTGTCTATAAAGCACAAACACTTCAGCATGGACATGCCTCTGAAATGTGCCAGCATAACTAAGGCACACCACGACATAGTTGGGACGCAATGATGAAGTGTATTTATTTTATGAGCTAGTTTAGCAAAATATATTTTTATCAATGATAGAGAAGCTTTTATTGGAAAGAACATTGATGCTAATGGTGATGATGTTGACACTATTTATGTTTGATCAATTAATGGTAAATCAATGTGTACATGATTCTTTAGACATTTTGAAGATTATATACTCTCTTTTTTTTTTCTTTTTTTTTCTTTTTTTTTGCATTTTGTGTGGACAATATAGTATGACACTGATGAAGTCATGCCCAATGATTAATGCTAATATTGGTGTGTTGTTGACAATTAAATGCACTTAATAAAATATTAAAATGCAATTGTAGTTAATCTTTTTTTTTGTCCTTAAGCTTTTTGTGCAATGCATATGATATTATATTTGATTTTATAATATTTTGTTATAAAAATATAGATATTAATCATTTTGTTTACACATTTTATATTAATAATTTATGAAAAAACTTATATCCATGGCCTATTATGCCATATTTATATAATTATGTCATATTCTCGTGTCCATGTTAGTTTTATTTTCAATAAAAATAACCGTGATCCATTCTATCTATATTTTGGCCTAAAGAATAAAGCATTAAGCTAAAGTTTATGCTAAAGTCTTGAATTAATTGCATACAAAGGATTATCTCCCACATTTTCTATCATACTAAGAAAAAAAATTGAATGAACTAGGATTTCGTTCTACCTTACAATGCCTAGACTATGTTCATCCTCCAACAAATTTGAATTATTTATGACCAGACAAAAGTCACTTTATTTTTTCATGCAACATAGCACTAGAGCATATGATTGATAATGCCATGTTGGACTAATCCTTCAGTTTGACTACTTTATTCCAATTACATGCCATGGAAATCAAGTTTGACATGTATAAGCTCATGTTCTGTGCTATTTTGTTCACTGAATTAGCGATAGTCATTACAACAAGCAAATATTTTAGATTAAATTATATGCTGCTAAATGTTGAAATTATACCCATATTAGAAATTGTCAATTTAACAGTTTTATGGAGTAAATTTTTAACAGAGCATGCATCTACAATTATAAATTTGGCCAGATTTTAACTAACAATGAAAAACGAAATATAATGTGAATGAATAATAGTTTTGATTGGATTTGTAAATTTCAATTTACCGTTGTTTTAAAGTAATGGAAAAATCTTGGTTCAATGCTATTTAGCATTTTAGCTTGGTAAGATTTGTAATGATTCAAGAATTATATTGTTATTTGATTAAATAAAAAATTCAAAATTTGCAATGCAAAGAAGTAAAAGCTTCATGATAAATAGAAAGACCGCCTCAAATTCCTGTGAAATCCGTACTTAAACAAAACAATTGTCTTGGTACGATTTTTCATGGATAAAAAGTATACCATATTAGGTTGAAGGAGCCAATTGGTTTAGTTGTTCAAGAAACATAGTTGAAATTCGAGAGAAACAGAAACTTCTAACAGCATCAAATATTACTTAAAATTTTGGGGCCTATAATCTTTCATCAAATATAACAAGTGCCACTATAGAGAGCAAAGAAGACATTTAGTTTTACCTGCAGTGCCATGGGCAAAGTGGCACTTACTGCCAAACGGGCAGTGCCCAGTCATCTCCCACTTGTTACAAATCCTCGTCTTCCAATTGGAAGGTTTCTGATTAGATCCATTCCCTCCAGCTCCATGCCCTCCACCTCCAACGGCCGGTGAAAGGCTTATAGCTTCACTTTCTCGAGCTTTTGACTCCTCGTCATGCAGAAAGCTACACATATCACCATATGGGCAACCCTCATCAGTATAAAACTTCTTGCAATGCCTCCCCTTGTAAGATCTATGTCCATCACCAACAACAGCGGAAGTCAGGATTGGTATATGGTGCTCCTCATTTGGCTCCAAAATTTCACCCACTTCAAGGGCGGCCACAATTTCCTGCCAATTTGGAGGCGGTTTCCGAAGCTCCACCATGTCATGGGCAAAGTTGCAGTTTGTGACAAATGGGCATGTTCCAGAACGGAATCTACAACATAATTTAGTCTTAAAGAACAGTCTCCCAATAGCCTTGGAATTACTGTTGCTGAATACCGCGTCTCCATGGGAGAAGCCTCCGGGCATCTTGTTCGGAGATTGCTCACTGCCTGACCGGGATAAGGGCTGTGATGGCTGCTGCCTGCCGTCTTGAGACCGATGCAGGATGGTCTCCAGAGAGGAATCGCCATTCAAAGAACGGTGATCATCCTCTGTGGCCCAAATTGATTGATCACACGATGGCGAGAGCACTGGATCTGAGTAAACTGGAACAGAGCCGTCTGGAATCAACTCAATTGCATAGCCAGACCACCGTCCACAGTCCATGCGCTGCCGAAATTAATCAATTTCCAAACATTTCAACACATAAAAGATAAAGCTTAAGTCAGGATCGCTGAAATAGTGTTGGAGCTGAACAAGAGCTCAAAAGAACAGATGAAGGAGAGGTAAGAGGGAAGAAGAAAGGGGGTAGACTATGAGGAGTATAAAGATTGAGAATTTACGTTGTTCTTGAATCGAGATGAAGCTCAGGGTGACGCCTGCACTGTGCGGAACTCGGGAAATTTCACGAAAGTTGATGACATAACTTAGGGGGTGTTTGGTATCGGATTTATTTCGATTTTTAAGCAGGATTTACGGTAAATCCAGCCAAACGCAAAAAAAGTCGCCTTAAATCCGGCAAATCCGTAAATCCCGGATTTGCGGCGTAAATCCGCTAAATCCCGGTTAATCCTAATCCAGGTAGAAGTCGGATTTACGGAATTTGACCAAAGAACCACGCGAAAGGGAGAAAGTTACCTTCACAGCGAGCGAGCGAGCTCTCGTCGTTAGGCGTTATCGGGTCGGGTCGCTAATCTGACAAGACATAAAGCGTTAATAATAAATTAAAAAAACGCCTAACAGATGTCGCATTTCCATTGGGGACCGAACGGAGAGATGGCTTCGGTCACCTGACCCAATAATTTGCCGCAACGAAGGAGCCGAAGAAGCGACGACGAGGTGGAAAGGAGTAAGCAGTGGCTTTCTCGGGAAATTTTTAAGAATAAGCATGATTTATATTTGTATTAACAATTTAAGCATGCCTAAAAAAAATTTAAATATAGGCAAAGTCACTCCTTTAAACGACGACTTATGCTGACTAGGATAGTAGTCGTTATGATGACATGGCAAAGAAATGTTTGCATCAATAAGTCGCCTGAATAACGAACGATTTATAAGTCGCCCGTTTAACGGGCGACTTAGTGCAGAATAAAAAAATTCTGGAGCATAAGTCGCCCGTTTAACGGGCGACTTATGCTCCAGAAATTTTTTTCCTGCTACTATTATGGTGTGTGTTAATCGATAGAGTTTAGGGTAAGGGTAAGGCTTTAATTTGTTTTCATAAATAATTTGTTTTAATTTTTTGATATATTTGTAACACAATTGATCGTAAGAGAAAACGCGAAAAACAACCTCTAAAATTAGTCTGAAAGATCAGTTGTAGTGGACCTATTTATAGTTAATGATTATTTGCGGGTTGGATTGAGATTTTGTATAGCCAAAATTAACTTATATAAACTTGGCTAAGTTTTGCATAGTTTGTTTGAACGATAATTAATGTTATAGAAATTAAGTATAAATTTTTTTTTAATAGAAAGTGCATCATATAATATATATGAAAAAAGAGGTAAGTAATTCAATTGATCCAACAAAGTCGAAGCTACTAATTTAAAGGATCCATAACATAAGCATATTGAAACTAAATAATCCGTAACATAAGCATGAAATACATAAACAGCTGAACTAGCGTCGCCTACGTGGCCTCTGTGGCAATGCATCAGTGCCTGGAGTGTAATGCTGAGGCGGTCGTCGTGGCCTTTTGGCCTATTGACGTAGCATGTGTTGTTCCTCCCAGGTGCTTCTTCCTCAAGCTATGTCATCTGTATGAATCGATGCTCGGTACGAAATCTGGGCTGAGGTATTGCTTTCCAAATCCGTTGGCACTGGCTGCTGAAGAGGTCCGTTAGAGGGCCCTTGATCAGATTGGATAATAGAGGCAGG